AACATAACATATGCAGATGGACTCTGGTTGAAGGCCGTCCTGGAGGTTGAGCTGGCTTTATTCAGGGGTATCAGAGTAGAGATGAGATCTGAACAGGGAGGCTGGTTAAAACGGGTCATAATGTGGTTTTGCTTATCAGAACCTTTCCTCTGCTGCTGCCAGGTGTTGCTGCTTTCATTTGGCAGCGTCTGCGTTTGGAGCAGCAGGGTTAGCGTTTCACCTGCAGGCTCCTCTTACCGTCAGAATAACACCTGCATCAGGTTACCGTGACGATCCGCTGACCCACAGGGCCATCGGCGGGCCCAATATCCAGCTGGACGTCACATTCCAGCCAGTCAATCGGTGCAGGGGGTTCTCTGGGAGGGGGGGCATCAGCTCCTCTTTCTAGGGAAAACAGACTGAGGATGAGGATGAGGATGAAGGACCCGGGCTCCGGAGCAGAGTGTCGGGTGTCCATCAGGCCGGGTCTGGTTTCAGAACATTATCTTCACTCTTCATCGTATTATTACCTCATCCTGAAGCTCAGCTCGCAGAGAGCCGCTGTGCTAACGGCTGTGGGGGGGTGATATGCAGAGGGACCCCACGCTGACCCAACAAGGGACCACACACCCCAGTTAGTCAGCAAAGCCACTCTGAGGGGGTGATTTATTCTAACCCCCCCCCCCCCGCACACAAACACACAACCAGAAGGACACGTCCTACACAATAAGGAACTTTCCTGTCTTGGTTCGAGGAAAGTCTGGTCCTGATTCTGGGTTTTGACCTTTGACCTGTCAGCATAACCTGATTGTTCCTAACAGAGCACTTCGCTCTCAATCTGCAGGTTTACCAGTGGTTCCTCAGCAGGTTGGAGGTTCTGGTTCCTCAGAACCGGGCCTTCCCAGAAAATCATGATCATACTCCAGAACCCGCCTTACAGGAACAAATACCAGAACTTCATGTTTCAGCACCAGAACCAGACCCTGAGGTTTCAACCTTGAACCTTCTTCCTCTCAGTCGTTCAGTCGGGTCACAGCTGGTCGGTTTTCATCACCTTCAAGGCGTTACAGTCGTTTCTGAAGCCGTCGCCATGTTTGTTCCACCTGGCAGCCATATTGTATTTTTAGGTTAGAACGGGTTAGAACTTCCTCTTCAGATGCAGCCCCAGCTCCAAGTAACTAAAATTATTATTCTCTATCTGCACTCCCTACATCTGATCGCCCTCTACTCCTCCTCTCTCCAGCCTCCCCCTTCATCTGATCTGTTTCCATAACGACTCTCTATCTGCAGCTTTAATCCCAGAGCGTTTCCTGAAGGACCTGCTTTACTTCTAGATCTGCCTCCATCTAGACCTGAACAGAGAGGAGAGCTGAGCCTGAGGCTGAACGCTCAGGAAGGCGGAGTCAGGTCTGACATCTGCATCATGGCGAGGACCGCAGAGCAGACCCACTTCCTCTGAGCTAAAACCAGCTCAGAAACAAATCTACTGGATAAACTGGGAGGT